TGTGGGGAGAGGACCTACTTCTTTCCCTTATCCAGGGATATTACACTCGTGTAATCCTACGAACACTCCACCATAGGCGTAGCCCCTGACCTTATACATAGAAGAGTTGGACAATGATATTTTCTCGTCGTGTTCAGGATACACAACAGCGGAGTTCACGTTTAAATCATATATTGCATATCGTTCATCATACCACCATTTCGGCTCATTCGTGGATATTTTTGGAGATATCATAGTCCTAAACTAAAGGTTAGCTAGAAGAACTAAAAAGTTGAGCGTTCACCGGCAAAGCTCACGGTAAGACTCGATTATCGTATATATGATACCAGTTGCCACTCGGGGCATCAGTTATAGTTAATTTTTTCAACCATTTAACACTCCGTCCACCGATTTGTCCTGGAACAACTGCTCGCAATGGTCGACCGTGGTCTGGTCGGAGTGGCTCGCCATTCATTTTGTGTGCCAACATTATTCGCTTGTTCGGGTCCATGGCCCAATTCAATTTGATAGATGTACCGTAGCATCCGTTGGGCTATAGAAAAGAATCGTCAATATTTGTTGAGAGAAGTGTGGCCTCAAGTGTAGAATTTACCAGTTTATCCGCGCCCTCCATACACACATATTTTGCACCTGGAAGCAGCTTCGCCCTTTGCAAGATAGAGGACATCAACGGGCCCGTAAAAAGAGCCGTCGATACGCCCGCTGCCCCCCATGAGAAGCCCTTCGATTTTCTCACCTGGTTTTGTTCCTTGCGCCTGTTTCCAGCACATACCAGAGTAATGGGTGCCGTTATTTGTTCAAACTCTGTCAAAATTTGAGCGAAATTCAAGACTAGAGGGTTCTGCACCAGGCTACTTGCAGCCAGTCAGCGTAAGTAAGATGGATAGTCGTTTACCAAGATCAAATTAGTCTTTACCCTTCAACGCTCAGCTGCCAATCAGGAATGTCCGCCTGACGAACCTCCGGAACAGAGCCATGATTTCTCACGTAAAATAGTTCGGGAGAGGTAAGAAATCCTGCATTTCGATTGGTAAGTAAGGTTCGCATCGGCAAGTATCATACCAGTCAAATGTCGGAAGAGAGAGTTACCTTCATCATATAGAGAGGTTAAAGGTGGCTCGACATTGAATGGGTGAATTCCAGTAAGCCGAATAAGGCGTGGATCTCTGGGGACATGTTTATCCGGAGTGTCCTTATCTATATCAAGGATCTCCGTTGGCTCTTTCGAAGGCGGTGGGAGAGGAATATAGACAGCCCGTGGCGCCCCCTTTTCAGCGTGCGCGGGCTGTTGTGATATGTGAGGAACAAGGCTTTTTTTCTGGATTAAAACAGTTGGAAAATCCTCCAATCGTATAATAGATTCCATTTTGATATTGAATTCGTAGAAATTTCTGTTGACCGGGATGGTCTCAAAAACCAAGGGGATGGGCATGAGCAATATAAAGATCCATCTCTCATAGGTAAAGCCGATGAGAGAGCCTCGTAATCGTCTTGCAGTTCTACAGAACAGGGTCTGTTTACCAGACCATGCACGGGAGAATCAGTGCATCTCCGGATCACAAGAATCAGCCGCAGCAGTCCCACGCTGAGATCGCCTCTTGCTGCCCATCCTGAAGGGTATTGATGTCCCTGAGAACACCTCAACCTCGTAACATTCCACAGGAATAGGGCGTGCCATCGCGAAAATCAAGGAGTTTAACGCAGTTGAGACATTACACAAATGAAAAACACCCTAATTAGGGGTGGCGGAAACCATCTCCGGAGAGTCCATTGCAATCGGGAGACAAACAAGTAAAGCTGCAACCATTGGGGCCAACAGCGAAAAAAGGGCGCTGTTTGAAACTGGTGACCCGGACTGAGGGATATGAAAAGGTCGGACTGGGACAGCGCCGGCGGACGGAGTGGGCAGTTGCAGGTGTGCGCAGCGCAACGCGCAGTTTATCGGGATTCGCGGCCAAACTCAAGGCCGCCGTGGATTCCCCAAGTTCTGCTGCGGCCATGAATGCACCATCTAGGAAATTATGGAACGTCCACGGGCATTATTATTGTGTGTGAGTTTGCAATTGAGCCTGCTGCAAACCCCTTCCAAGTGAGCAATTACCCGTTCTGTAAACCAAGGCAGGCGACATGGTAGGAAGCCTGCTCGTCGAGACGCATCAAAGAGAAGCTCTCACAGTGAATGAACGATGCATTCCACACTGATCACTAGTTGCACTGTCGATGGAGTTATCTACAGTAGCAGTAACAATTGGTCACTTGAAGGAAACATTGGGATGGTTGATTGTACGAGGTCAACCTGGCTCAGCGACAAAAGCGTAGTCTAGATCGTGGCTCCTAGCGTGGATGCTGGACATCTTGCGTCTTGCCTTGGCAGCGATGTCAACGGTTGAAGCGCCAGAACAACTTAATTTGGACATACGCATGATATACTGTCATATACATATGAGAGACGGTATGGCATTGTCGCCATCTGTGAGGAAGTCCACACTGCCGTCAATTTTCAAACGCTCCAAAAGTCAGAACCTTGGAATCAGAGCTGAGCTTTCATTCAGCACTTGTCTGATTTATCGACGTCATTTCACCACAACACTTGTGCAAAGTTTTCCTGGGAAGAAAGTTAAACTACAGCCTGTGGATGCCGCTTTTCCGAAGCACCTTTTTTTGTAGGTTATGCGGCGTGTTGTACACCATAGCTGACTCGGACCTGCTGATTGGCCCTGCCTGACAAGTATGGGATGGTTTCACCGCCTGGGGAGCAGTTTACTGAAGCTGGAGGCAGACATATCAATGAGCGCCCGGGAGACAGTTGGACGAGGGCATGGGCACCTTTTGTGACGAGACAACAATCTAGAACCGGTTTTGGATCCATGTTGAAGAAACTCGTGGCGCGAATTAGTTTGCCGACGGTCATGACGATGGGGAGATACTAATCTTGAGGGGTCCATCCTGCAGCTGCAGAGGTCTTGCAGTAATTAAGCATTCATCTCGTTCTCGGCGAAAAAGCTTGTTCAGAATGCATGGTCCAGTAATATTCGCAGATCATCGTCGTACGACCTTGCGACAGGCTTGTCAGGGTTGCAGATATCAAAATGGTTGGAAAGCAAGGGTTGCGATGAGTCAATCGGATATTGATTTCATTTTATGACAGGCAGGTTCTTTGGACTTTGATCCAACATTTTATTGACTCGTTTGGGATGTCTGCGCTGCTGCCAGAAGAACATAACTCTCAATAGATTCTTCGAAATCCTCAGCTTCCTCAGCTTTTGTTCTGGCTGGCTAGGGCACCCAGACCCTTCACTACCCGAAGCACATATACTTTTTTTACCGCTGTTCTAAAAAAGGAAGATTTCCTATCAACACTAGCAGGATCGGTTTGGCGTTCAACTATCGAACAAGCCCACACTCCTACAATTCACACAACATGAAAACCAAAACTGGACCATCACCTTCACCCTTTCCGCTTAAATTAATGCTCCATATCCGCTAAATAATGGACAAAGTGGCATACATATTTGGAGTGACAATGGACAAGTGACAGGATTTGTGTCAAGTGCTTGAGGACCTCAAAAAGACATGCTTGATAAGAACGCGTCTGATGGTCGTCCGGAAAACTGGAAAATATGGTGATATCGATTGGTTGACCACTACGACTTGCCCTATTTGCCGTAAGTACTAGTATCTTTCTCCTTCACTCTTCTAACAGGAACCCACGGCGTCCACCAGCACATGGATAACTGCATTGGCCTGCGCACCTCCCATCAATCGTAACGACAACCGGGATTGGTACGCAGGTTTTCTTTCAGGTGCGCGGCGGGTCCGCAAGGAAGCTCCTTGTAGACATCGATATCTAATTTTGTCAATACATCCCCCTTTATTCATACCTAGCTACATCTTATTCCCGGGTGCCCATTGTGACACCCCATTTCTCTCAGGGATCACATCTCGGCTATCGCGAACGAACCCTAAAATTATATATACTATACAAACGTCAGTTTTTGGTTGTCAGGAGTCTCTACATTGGTGAATTCTATTGAGGTTTATACTCTTTGGTGATTCTTTCACCCTGTGATTCCCGATCCTCATGCTAGTTTGAATGCTATTGTTACCCATTGGGCTTTTGATCGGCTTCTCAGAAGCATCGCCCTATAACCAACAAGAGGTAGCCAGACGAAAAGAATTCGAGACGAAGCTAATTCTCTTTGAGTGTTGGGGGGTGGGATAAAGAATTCGGTTCCTGATATTTTGAACTATTGAATCCAAATTGGTCTACAATAGGGACTATGTTGCAATTGGTGAATTGATATCATTTGGATATCAAAACTTCATTGCTACCAATCTTTGCTCCAGCCTTAATCCTTCCCAACGATATATGAGCAAAACTATCGACAGCTCTGATATACTAAACCCGTCTCTCTTATCAACTCCAAGCTTTTCCCTTCCAATGCTTCCTATACATCCCACTCCAACTAACGTCATCGTCCTCGAAAGCTCCCGCTCAAGAATATCCAGTACTCTCTCCACCCCCTTCCTGTCCGCCAAAATTGAGACCCCATGATGCCGAACGACCCACGAGTGCGAAATCCGCACCCAACGCCAATGCTTTGAATACGTCGCTTCCCCTCGTAATTCCGCTATCAGTAGTGACGGAACCCTACCGCGAACTGCACTGACTATTTCCGGCAGCACTTTGATACTGGAGGGGACAGAGTCCAGCTGGCGGCCTTCGTTGTTGGGCACAATGATTGCGTCAGCGCCATGTCCAATGGCAAGCAATGTATCCTCTGCGGTCATTATGCCTTTTAGAATAATTTTCAGGTTGGTTCTGGAACATAGCCAAAGGCATGGAGTCAGACCAGGTGAGTAATGCGTCGTTCAGGGTGTCGTGGTTTTCGAGTGTGATTTCCGTCGCTGCTCTAGCATTGCGTGCCTCCAGGAGGATACGGTTCATTGTCGGTTCTGCCTTTGGAGGCCTTTCGTTTGGAGTAGAACTGTTCATTTTTTGGTGGAGACTTGTGAGAGAAAGATGGGGAGGAAAAACCAATGCCGTTTTGCTCATTGATGCGATTCCCCAGGGCAGGTGTGTCGACTGTTAAAACTATAGCTTTGTATCCGGCAGCTGGGATAAACTAGATCTTTTGGGAAGCATATATATTTCGCAGAGAGTGGGACTGAGTTTCTACCGTTGTTGCAAATTTGAAACCCCGTGGGATTGAATGATTCTGCTAGAGCACGTACCTTGCGCCCTTGCTATCTGATAACCTGCGCACATCTTTCCCGATTCTGCGAGATATTGAGCAGGAACCAGAAATCCACCAGATTGTCTCCACCAGGTGCTTGGATGACATCTTCCAACGTGCATGTTGTATGCGACGATAGGATCATGTTAGTTCCCCGACTACCTGCTGCTTTGGCCATATCAATCTCCCCATCACCGCCCACAAGCTTTTGCACTGCACTGGGCGAAATTCCAATTGGGATTGGATACCTCTTGCGTTGTTCAACACTAAGCATTCCTCCTGTGTAGCCAACTCTTGCCTGTATTCAGTATCACACATTGACTCGTCATAAGCACTGCTTGCATACGAGTATAAGGACGAACAATAATAATAATAATAATAACAGTATATAAAGCAATTTAATTATATAATTATAGAATAAAACTAGAATTTATTACAGCAGAGAATCTCCTATTTATTAGAGTAGATAACAAAGATTCAATCAATCTAGCTATCATTGCTGTGATCACAGCATACAGCAAGCATATCAATACTCATTTCCACTATTCTCACATAGAGTTGAATAAAGATATTATCTTGATTAATCACATTCTCACTGAGAATATAACAGCAGACAGATTAATCAAATCTCTGAATATAGTGATATTAGATATTTTATCATTTACTAGAGTTTTTACTGATA